GATCATTACACGTGAGCATTGTTGTTTCATAATTTACGTGGCCAGAGTAAGGAAATATGATGGAAAACGAAACTGTTCGCGGTAGAGGAACACCGGACAGTTACGAGGTGTTACACCTGGGTGTCTCCAGCCTCCTGGGTGTCTCCTGTCTTAACCTGACGCGCATCGGCTGTCTGCGCAGCAAGGATTTTGCTAGCCGACACGACCTTGGTCAGCTTTATAACTGAGCTGGATTTCACGATCTGGCGTTCGGCACGGCCGATCACTTCGGTGACAACGAGCGGGGCGATTTTTATCAGTGGCTCCGATTTAGCTTTAGCTGGCAGTTTGTCATCGGTGGATTCCATACGAATAGGCACGGCGATGTTTTCCTGAAGTGACGGAGATCTACACTCTTGCGTGTTACGGGATCCCATAAAGAAGTCCTTGATGTGACTGAGGTAGGTCGCGGGCTGTTTCACGTCTTTCGCCGATTGCGAGGCAACCACTACTGAAAATGAAAGAAAGATGTATCGTGATTCACGAAGTGTAATGTGTTACTGAAATTATCGGTTGATTATAAATGCGTTTATATATTGCGTTTTATACGCGATATTATGTCTTCTGGTGTATTGCTTTGCATTTTGTGGCGTACAATGGCTTTGCATTCTACTGAATTTTGATATCGTTCGATGTGATAAATCATGAATAGCGTTTAATGTGAAATATTAAATTTATGTCATGAGATTTGAATTCCTTCGTTTATTTTGAACGCGTAAATCGTTTTAATGTTACGAACTATATTACTAGTACGGGACTCTGTTAATTGCGTTATGTTCTACGCACTCAATGATTATAAGTTATTGTTTCCGATAGATGGCGGGGCAAGGTCATATCGGACTCTAATATCTGCTAGATACCCGTGCATTCAGCTACTAGTGCGTGGTTAGCCTTGGGCTAATAATATTATAATTACGCCGCCCGATTTTCTGATAAAATGCTATAAAATCTAAATCCATTTTGCCATCTATGGTTGTAATGTGTCAGTATTATGAGAGGGAAGAGCCGAGGCACACGCGTGAAGGCACAGGCGCATGCACGCAAACGCAAGCACATGCACATGCACGGGTACAGACGCAAACACGATGCACTCTTATATGTAATATTATTTATTATCATGTAAATGTTATTGTGTCTCGCTGTCAGTTTCCGTTCAAGAAGCTATACATAACGAAAGTTCATACTAACCAGTCGTGCCCGGAAGTGATGCGCTCTCCGTGGCAGCAAATTTAGACGCTTCTTCCGCTTTACGTTTTCTATCCTGATATTCGGCTTCCTGTCGATGTAAACATATAGCAACACATTTTAAACTCGCTCCCCTTTAACATGTTGCTACATACATTGTGAAGATTCTAAAATATTCATATGGATGCTAAAATCTTTTACTAGTTTATAGTCAGCAATGATTTCGTTTATCTATTTTCTATCTGTTCGGATGGACTCGTGAACGCAAAAGACAATGTAAACGTAAATTGGGTGGTTCTTTACGATAACGCCGATCGTTAGTATTAGTATCGTTAGTAGGCAGTTTCCACGCACAAATTCTGCAATATATATATATGCTAGATATGCTTTCGAACTTGGGATTGAGATAAAAAAAATTGTATCTCTCTACAGCTGCTGAGATGCAACCAGGAGGACAAGGGAGGTGTACCTGCTCTCTCTGTATGGATTGTTTCAGCTTCTCGAGATGAACGGTGCTGGTAGTTAGCTCATCGTCAACCCTCGCCAACCTGTCAAATGAATGTACGACGGCTTCGTCGGCATGCTTGCTCGCCGCTACGGCCTCCTCTGCACAACAGAAATCACATTTAACCAGGGGTTAATAATGAGATTGTCTTAACATAAAAATAAAGTTTATCTCAGTTAGATTCAGAATAAGTTATAATCGTTGATCTAAGTGAGATAAACTTTATTTTAATGTGAACCATAGAGATCCGATGAAATTATTCAATCAATCAATGACATTGTCAATTAATGATTTTGTCATTAACTACTGATTTAACGAGTGCTCGATATTTTCTATTAAACGACAAACACCAAACACGAATATTACTCACAACAACGAAGACAATCTATTCAAATTTAACTCTTAAGTAATATTAAAAACAACGTAATTAATATTAAAAAGGGTCAGTGGGACTAATAATGTACAGCAGTAGGTAAGCGCGTAGTTACCTAGCCTCTGGTTGCTCTCCTCGACCTGATTCCTCAGGAGTTGGAGCTTCTCGGATTTGGCGGTAATTAGCGTTAGTTGACCTGCAGAAACAGCATAGTAAGCTCACGATTAATAAAATAATTAAAAATTTAATTAATTATTATTAATTCGGGAGAATGGTGGTGAGGGGGTGGGGTAGGTGGGTGAGGAGTGTGAGAGGGGAGTGAGGGTGTGGTGAGTCGGTGTGAGGTGGTGGGTGAGGATGGGGTAGGGTGTGGGGTGAGGATGGGGGTGAGGTGGTTGGGGGTGAAGGCTGGTGGTGGAGGGTGGTTGGGGTGAGGGTGGTGGGTGAGGGTGGTGGGGTTGGGTGTGGGGTGAAGGTGTGGGTGAGGTGTGGTGAGGTGGTGGGTGAGGTGTGGGGTGAGGATGGTGGGATGAGGAGTGGTGGGTTATGGTGTGTGAGGTGAAGGGTGCGTGGGTTGATTTGGCTGGTGGATGAAGGTGTGGGGATGAGGGTGGATGGGGTGATGAGTGGTGAGGTGAGGGTTGTGGTGAGGGGGTGGGTTAGGATGTGGGATGAGGTGTGGGTGATGGTAGTGGGGTGAGGGTGGTGGGGTGAGGGGTGTTGGGTGAGAGTGGTGGGGTGAGGGTGGGGAAGCCGATGTTCGAACGTGCTGATTATCCTAAGGAGATCAATCGAGAATTAATAATAATTAATTAAATTTTTAATTATTTTATTAATCGTGAGCTTACTCTGCTGTTTCTGCAGGTCAACTAACGCTAATTACCGCCAAATCCGAGAAGCTCCAACTCCTGAGGAATCAGGTCGAGG